GGCGCACAGGGACGAAATCGACGAAGTGGCGAAGGAGCACCGATAAAGATAAATTTACCTCCAGTGGCTCCGTCTTCTTGGGCATTCACGAGGCCGTAATGGCACCGGTTCGAAATCATAGGGCTGCCACATTAATCACTCAACTTGGCCGTTTGCCTGCGAGCTTCGGAGTTTCGCACACGCAACCTGGTACAAGCAACCCTCGAAATAATGCCGCCCCGAGATCGATCCTCGGCCAAACGATAATCCGGTTATCGAGTAGCGTGTCCTCGCGAATGAGGCGACGATCTGGAAAATAGATGTCCCGGGACATTCCCGCGGGAAGAAATTCACTCCCCGAGCATTTATTTCGAGATTTGTCACGCCCACCCCTTTCCTCCTCCCACTGCCCGGACGAACGTTTCCTTGAAAGCGTTTCGATTTATCTCCTCGAGATATTCATTCGGAATTGGCTCCTCGCGATATCCTTTTAGTGCATGATCTCGAACTTCGGAAATATAGGAATTATATTCCGTAGTAAGAACTAGAATCGACTTCTTTATCTCTAATTGGAAGCGCAGCGTGGTGATCGTTTGATTAAATTAGTATCGTGAATTTTTTAACGGTAGCATATTAATTTTCGCTGCATTCGGTAGATCTAGTTGATTTTAATAGGGTTATAACGAGAGGGAATTGGGTCGCTTTTGGAGATAATTGGTTAGGTTTTCCCATTTTTCAGAGGGAAAGAATTTTCTACCGCGCATGATAAGAGCCGTGATTATTACTGGTAAAGAGTCCAAGAGAAATGACGGGGGGGATCAATAATTCCATTCCGTGTATATGGGTCTTCAAAGAGTCGCGCGAATGAGAGCGTTAATGCCTCAAAGTGTCTCCTTTGGACGCGGAAATATATTTCTGAAATGCAATTTAGAAAACCGCACCGTTTATCGAGAAATCGGGCCGCGGCGGGGCTACGGAACGCGAGGGAAATGAAGGGAGAACAATCGAAAATCCAATTAAGTCCTTTAATGGGTGCAATAAAAATGATGCAATGAAACCGCGTAATAAAAAGTCCGGACCTGCGTAAAAAAAGTCGTATGCGTCATAGGGAGTCATTTTTCGGTATCCGGTCAATCGATGCACTCCAAAAATATTGTCTTGCCACGATATGAGCTTTCGCGAAGTTCTGCCTCTCACGTGTCGTCGTAAAGCCGAAATTTTAGTTCTTAATCATTCGACTGGTCTCGAACATTTCAAATGAAAAATTGCACGCGAAATTATTTTAGAGAATTTAATCAATGAATCTGTTATTTCCTAAAAATTGTCAGGATTCAGGAGGAAATCTATAGAGAAAAGGAAGCTAAAATAAATGATACTGATTTACTCCGATTTTTTGGATAGCATAGAATCGGTACCATTATGCGCTTTTACGGAAAATATAATTTCGAATTTCCCTCGAAATTAATAAAAATTCTTTGGACCTCGAAGCGACCGCCGAGCGAATGCTCTGGACAGGTTAATTTCCCAAAATTGTCCGTCAAAGGTAGGAGCGGCTGACGAAGTTATGCCAATTTGAAAAATGCCATATAAACGTCAATCAAGAGCCTCGAGGCAGCTGCAACTGCAGCCGTGACGAGAAGAGCCGGCCAGCTCGAGGACGATGCTCATTAAACTTCGAGTAATCAATTTTATAGGAAAAAAGCATCTCAGAGTAATTAACGTCGCGATTTAACTTCAAAAAGCCGAAACTCTATGCCTTTCAAAAATTAAAAAAAAAAAACCATGCGCGAGGGTCACGTTTCGCATTTTCATATTTTCGCGTTTTCGCGTTTTCGCAATTTTCTCTCCTCATTGTTCTTTCTATCACGAACCACCCTTAATTCAACCCTATATTTACGTTTTTAAATTCCGCCTAAAAGCTATATTCTTAAAAAGGCCCCTCTTTATACATTTTCAATTGAAATCCGTGAAAAACGATTCCCGATCGGGCGAGCACCAAATTCGCGAAATGCCTCCCGGTTGGAAAGCCCGGAGGGAAAGCTTCGCTTCCCATCCCCGGGGCGGGGGTGCGCCTGGCGTTGACGCGATGCTCATTAAAGCTCCGAGCAGTCAATTTTACGATCGGAAGCTCGCGCCCTGACGAGCTGGCTCTTCGCGGGGATGGCTCGGCCGGGGAAGGGGGGCACTTCGATAAATTACAATTTCACGAGTCTCGGCCGCAATAATTCATGAGGTCATATCGACTTTAAAGAAGTTCGCAAGGCCCGATAAGCCCCCTTCGTCCCTCGCATGCGTACGGGGGTGGTTCAAAGGGACCGCTCCAGAGTGAGGGGTTCCATCCCCGATTGGATTAGCCGTATCATGGAAACCCGGTTAGCCAATCGGGGCCCGAGTTGCCTGTTCCCTTTCTCCTCTTTTATTTTATTTTATTTTATCCCGACTTCTCGTTAAGCGGCGTGCTAATTAACGGGACTTAGATTGGCTCGAAAAAGCTCGCCGATTCCGGCCGATTAAATCGCGGGGGGTGACCCACCCCTTGGTGATGTAAATGAACAAACGCGTATCCATATAAAGGATTTATGGGGTTAATGGTACAGGTGTTAACTCGAGACATGGAAACGATGGCGAGCTCGAAGCACACGCGTTACGTCGTTCGGGGAGTTATTGTGCTTTTATGTCTTTTTCTTTATTAGTACCGCATGGGACATGTCGGGGTGGTTTGTTCGGTACTTAATTAGTGACATGTTGAACGGGGTAATTTACTCGTTAACTGGTCGGAGATAATAGTTTCGGATTTATTAGATCGATATCCGAGGCCTCGCGTGACTCCGTTCTTTCGCTGGCAGTCGCTCTCTTCCGGCACGTGAAATATCATTTCTTTTTCTTTCTAATTTTAATATTTTCCCGTTCGTTCGCGCGATCGGGCCTTCGTCCGAAGGCGTTCCGGCCTGTAATGCGGAGGAATTAATTACAGTTTTCCCGAGAAGTGAAAGAAAAAGAGAGGGGAAGGAAAATGGATTACACTTGTCGCGGATGACTGGGAGACCTAAATGTTCGCGGAATGAAGCGAATCCGCGGCCTGGTGCTCTGATTAAAGCTAAAATTGCATATTCAAAACCCGGAGTAGACGTGACCGATATTCGGCCCTGAGTAATTTAGCTTTACGTCACTTCCGGGCAACGAGTGGCGGAAAAAGTAGACCGAAGAAACCGGCCGAGGGATTCCGGAAGGCTGCAATATGGAATCGACCGCGTACACAGACGGATAAAAATGCCCGATCGATTTCTCAAGGAGGAGCCAAAGGATGCGGAAAACTCGTATCTGTCATTCTGTACATGGAAGCAATTTTTATAGAAACTGTGAAACTTTCTACCCCTCAAAAAAGACCCACCGATCAAACGCGTTACCGACTCCAGTGCGAAGCATTCCGAGAAGAGTTGATTTATTATTGCGATATTAATTATGAAGACTTTATGAAAGACTTTATAAAAATGGGGTGAATATTTTGAATAGGTCAAAAGCTCGCTATTTTAGCGTGGCGTAATTATTCGAATGTAAATGTTAATTAAACGTGTTTCGAGTAGTTGAACGACACGTAGCACGTAACCGTGTAAACTGGACGATGTGTCCATTTTCTTTTTAGTCAAAAAGCATTGCAACTATTCCCGTGGGCGAGAGTCCAGAAATATAATTAGTGCTTACAGGGAAAGGGGTTGGAAAGAAAGGAGGGGTCACGTTAGTCGCCAATTAACCACGCTAAAAGCAAAAATAAAAATAAAAATAAGAAATATATATGGTTGAAAATCCCAAGGAATATCCATTGCAAAGCCCTCCCATTATTCCCTCTGTAAGCCAGACCACTTCTAAATGTCAATTAAAAGTCCTTTAATTAACTCAACTACAGAACAGCATGCAACCGCTCACAATGGGCGGAATTTTGATTAAAAAAGCAGAAAGCGCAGATCGTTCTAAAACCGAAGGAGGGGGAGAGAGGTTCGGTATTTGCAGCCAATTAATAGGATAAAAAGGAAAAGAGAAAAGAAAAATGCACCTCCACCTCCTAAACAATATCAACTCCCATTATTTTCCCTTTACATTGCGTACACTTCCCCTCCATCGCGAGCCATTTTATTAAACCAGACAGGGCGATAAACCCATCGATAATAAAAAATCACCGTGCACAAAACTTGCTTCCAAAATGATTTAAACCGCCAGTTCGTAATCAACCCTGCAACAGTTCGAAAATAAAAAGGTGCACATAACGAGCCTCTTTGCGAGCCATCCGAACTCGAATTCCGCCCTTCCCGCCCACCTGGCGACGGTTCGGGGTCGACCTCGCCCCTCTCCGGGAAGTTAATTAAAAAGTCCCTTAATCAAGGGAGCCCACAACGGGCGAGATATTTTGATCAGAAAGGCGTTAAGGGAGAATTCGTGGGTCGGTCTTAAAAAGAAAGGCGGTCACCTCGTTCCTCGGCGTCTAGAGGAGGCGCTCGACTTTTGTCGGCGTCCGAATACGTGTCAAGCATTCCAATGTGATTAGAATAATTGAGGAGAGGGAGAGAGAGAGAGGGAGGGAGCGGGAGAGTGGGAGCTAGAGAGGGAGAAACGAAAGCACGGAGCGGGGACCAGGGGAGGAAAACAAGCGCCGGGAGAGGCAGAAGGCAGAGAGGGAGCGAGAGGGCGATATGCGGCCGGCCGAAGGAGAGAGGGCGACGGAGAGAGGCCGGCCGCCCGGTGGGTGGGCGATGACGTGGGCGGTGGGTGGCGGGCGGTGGTGGGTGGTGGGCGCGAGATGGCGCGGTGGCGCACGTGTGCAAAAGGGGCCGCCCGGCAAGAATTTTCGCCCGGGCGGCCGTGCGCTGGAAAGCGCCCTGCCGCCCCCCAACACGTACGCCCCTGAGGACATGCTCGCCCGTGTGTACACGCCGTCCCTGCCCGTGTGTACGCCCACGCTCGAAACTCGGTCAACGAATGCATGCAAATTGCATGCGGATAACGGGGCGAAATAAACATCTGCTCACCGGGAGTAGTTTCTTCATTCCAATAGGAATCATCTAAGGTGTAGTCGGCCTCTGCAACAGAAAATAACGAGGGTTAGTTGCGGTTAATTCGGGCGTCTTGGCTTCGCGGGGGGCGGCTCGAGAATCCCCGAAGATGGTCCTGGAGATGTGGTTGGGCATTCGGAAATGCGAGGAAACGCGTATGTAGGAGAATTATAATTAATGTAATCTGGAATATACCCGGGGCGAGTATAAGGTTCCGACTTTCGGAGAGGACGAGTGCTTGTCGCGAGGTTTCATTCAATTTTAATTATTTACTCGATTTAGGGTCCTGGAAAAGAGATTGCGCCTTTTTGGACATGCACAGGGGTGTATAGAAAATGTGCGCATAGAGGTTTGGCGTGAAATGTGGTATTCCTGGTCTTCTGGAATGTGAAAAGGTGGACGCAGAGTTGTACTCGTTAATTTTTTCGATATCACGCGGGAACGGTTGAAGGTGATTTTTGTTCGGCCACCTTGTATGGGGTTTTCCTTTTTTTGATTTTCGTTGACACGTTAACTAAGACGAATGCGATGCCGTGGATGCGACAGCTCCTGTCAATGCGCACAACAGCTTTTCGGTGATTTATTTAGAGGTTCCCTGCGAGCCTATAAATTCGCAATGCGTTTTAGCCGCTTCTCACGGCTTCTGCGGTGATTGCTTTTATGTTAAATTCAGTCGCTTCTTCCACGGTACGAAGAATCGCACTTTTAACACCTGCCCATGCAATCCCGTTCAATTTGAGAAGAGCTTTCACCGACGGAATTCCCCGAAAGCTGTGACGCTCCAGTCCCTGACATTGCAAAGGTTCGCCAAAATATTTAAAATTAATTAAATTAAATTGAGTTATTCTTCATTCGAGGTCAAGGAAGGGAACAAAAGCCCGTAACAATGTTGCCCCTGGAATTCTTGACTCCGCCATCTTCTCGCAGGTGCTAAATTGAATTCCACTGAAATTCTATTCCCAGCTCCTCTGAATAGACGGATCAGGAAGAAGTGGTAGTGCCCGTTTTCAGTCAGACAACTTGGAATTTGCAATTAGATCCACGAGCGCAATGCAAAGCAATACAAGTACTCTTTGAACAAAATCTACTGCAAAAGAATTTTCAGTTCACCGTCGAAAATGCAAAATTTCAGGGAAAGCTCGTATTCTCTTTTTCTAATTCCCTTCTCTTTGAGTTATAAGCAGTAAGGAAATTTCGAGTCAGTCAAATGACGTGATGGTTCTGGCTACTCCACGTGTTTCATATTGACGAGTATTCAAATTAGCCATTCCATGGTAATTCGAATGATCGTCGGTATTAGACGTCAAAGCTTGACGTCTCCTTGTCACCGGTCGTCGGGATGTCAAGTAGTAATTGATCGCGTTGTGAACGTGCCGGTACAATATTCGTCATGTAACAGGATGCGGAATAAAATTAGCAAACCATGGAGCGGTGAGACGAAAATCTCAAATACTCCAAAATTTCGTCCTTAACCTTTCCCCTCTCGAAATCTTAGTAGATTGTGGAAGCCCCCACTTGGTAACCGTTTAAGCCGTTTCCGTGGGAGTATAATACTACTTTAATTAGCATGAACTGGTACTCGCTTTAAGTAGAATCTAATTCCAGTTCCCAGTAAGCCGAATTGCAGTACGGTCACACATGGCGGCACTTTCTCAAGTTCTAGAACATTTAATTAGCCATCGTGCTAGGACTTTCACTCCTTTATCAGAGGTCGAGTGTTAGTTCCCGAACGTAAACGACTGTCCTGTCAAGTCAGATGCGACGTATATTTTGCGAAAAAGGGGCAATATATTATTCCGCCGCTTTTTAACAGTGGTTTACACGGTTAGACATTAAAAGGAGCAGTATACGTAATTAGTGCCCTGGAAGGGAAAAAATAAGCTCTCTACTTTGAAGCAAGTGGAAGCGTCTATTTTTAGTCAACCGCGTCACAGCCTAGTCTGACTTAATGAGATTTTCCTACATTCTAGGTGAACAGACTATCGATTTTCTGTTCAAGATTGAAGAGACTTCTCGGTAAACCAACAACTTTTTAAAGGAATCCCCTTTCCCGGCGATATTTCCTCGAAGAAACGATCAAAGAAACGATAATCTAGGTAAGCTCTTTGAAAATGAAGACTCAAAGAGCCTTCGTTTCGCCGCTAGTAGAAATATCCACGTTTAGACGGCCGAATTATAACCCAGGGAGTAAATATAATTTCCTCTATAATCTAGACGAACGCGTTAGGGATGATTAAAGAATTTTACAAATTAATATCCTCTCCAGTCTCTATCCCCTTTCATTTACTTCCATCCTCGGCACTTTCCGCGAGTCGATATTAAAGAAAGGACATCTCGGTAAGTTTCTTAGAAGACGGGAAGCGAGGCTTCCTTTACCGTGCGACAAGTAGAAGTATCCAGTTTTAGTCAGCCGAGACACAACCTACGGACTAAATGAGATTTTCCTACGTCCCAGGTGAACAGGCTATCGATTTCCCCGGAAGCACTTAATTTAGCTGCTCGTAAAATCGAGGGCTTGTCATCGTCTCCTAGCTGTTGGATGGCACCGCATAATCAACGGTCACGTTCCAAGATAACAATGAAAAACAATCCACGCATTACCGGTGTACACCTGGCACACGTGAAAATCTATAAGTACACGCGCACGAGAGTCAATTGTAATAACAAGAGCGCAGGAAAAAGCGGTTTGTTTCGACAAGAGATTAATTACAAGAACGTTATTTATGGTTAATGCAAGTTCATCCACGACAGGCAGAAAATATACGAGGGTTCCCCATGTCCCAGGGGACCAGAGATCGATTCCCCCAGAAGCTAATTTGGTTGGTCGCCAAATCCGGGGCTTATCATCGTGTACGAATTTGTCGCAAACAAGAACCTTATCAAAATATCACGAACAATTCACCCGGCCGCAAAAGCTGCCAGGATAACATTTCCGCGAGGGAAAATTAACCGGCACCTACAATTGTATAATTAACAACATTATCTCCTAACTTCCAGTAAGGCAATAACAAATGTCATTCCGATTCGATCCACTGTCGGACCTTATAAAATGACAAAATCAACGAATGTCAATCCCCAGGTAGTTTAGACTACTTGAAATTGATTTTATTTAAAAAAGAAAATAATAGAGCATTTGGTAGTTTCAAGTCAGGAGTCCGCTCGGAAGTAGCAAAATTCACGCGTAGTCAGCCTCGCCTCGCCTGACGGTAAGCGAGCGCCGGAGCGAGTGGCGAGTTCCCCTGTCGAGGGTAATTCGATTGGTCATCGGGCCGGCTCCAACGGCTACGGTCGCCGGGCTGCGGATGCTGCTCCGGAGCCGCAGGGTGCACGCGGTGCGCCCCGCAGACTTAGCACCCGGCTAACCTCGTAACCCCGAATCCATAAGTTCCGGCGGCATCGATCGTCCGGTATGACGTCATTGTCGTGTCGGGTTTTAATCCGAATCCGAGTCGTCGCTTTTCCGGTGCTCCAGCGGCGCTTACGGTTCTCGAGTCCCGTTCCGGGTGGCGGACAACATCGACAATGACATCCCCTGTCAGCGGCACGTGCCTGCCTCAGGGGCGCGCGGCGTTGCCGTCATTGCCGATGCGCCCGCCGCCGTCACCGGCGGCTCAGGCCTGCCGCGAGTTGGCCGCGATGGCGGCTAGGCGTGGCTGAGCATTCGACGATCCGTCACAGGGATTCCCCACCTTGTTCATGCAATCGGATAGTGAGTTTCGTGTCGATTTCGAACCGTGTGCCCTATTTGAGGAGTTTTTCGCCGAATTTAAGTACTTTCACGTAGTTTTAGGTTAGGTTAGAGGTGACGTTAACGGCGATGCGGCGTTGCCGTCAATGCCAGTGCGCCTGTCGCCGAACGCTCAGCCCTCCTGCGACTTGGCAACGATGGCGGCAGGTAAAGCTGAGAATTGCACGGACCGTCATTAGAATTCCATACCTCGATTATACAATCGAAAAGGGAGTTTCATGTCGATTTGAGAACTGTGTCCTAGCTCAGGAGTTCTGGCCGATTTTAGATAGTTTCGCGTAGTTTTAGGTTAGGTGAGAGGTGACGTTAACGGCGATGCGGCGTTGCCATAATTGCCAGGGTGCCTGCAGTTGGCCGTGATGCAGGCAGGCATGGCCGAGCGTTCCGCGGACCGTCTCTGGGATTTCGTGCCCCGATTATACAATCGGAAAGTGAGTTCCATGTCAATTTCTGCCCCAGTTGAGAAGTTTTTAGCTGAATTTATTTAGTTTAACGCGATTCCAGATCACGCGAGAGGTGAGGTCGGACCAACGGTGACGTTAATAGGAGGACGTGGAAACCCACGTGATGCGAGCGGCTTTGGCGTCATTGCCAGTGACCGCGCAAACGCAGCCATTCCCCCGACATTCTCGCGAAAGCAGTGACACGGAAAGAGAGCGAACACAGGGGCAATACTTCCTTTCTCTCTCTCTATCTCCTGTCGTTAGGCTGTTGCCATATTGCACCGTGCAACCGTTTCATGTAAAAAAAAAAAAAGAGGGAAAGAGCGAGAAAACCGCCTCTTTGTTTTCTCGCTTCCATTCCTTCTATCTTCATAGTCAGATCAATGTGCGGGGTTCATGGTGCTCTTCGTATATCAATGTTGTCAATTTCAATTCCCCTTGCTCTAGGACGGTCGGATTAAAGTAATGGTACAATCCGGAACAATAAAAAAAAAAAAAAGAAATAGTACTATAAATTATAAAAAATTCAAATATTTAAATCAGAATCTTGACGGTATTTAAGAAGGAACGGGAATGCGATTTAACGCGTTAAACGATTAATAACATCGAACTAAAAATGAATATCCCAGAGTTTAATGAAATTCCCTGTCTGAACGAAGCATAAATGTCTTTACGAACAAAACTAAGAATATGAAGAAAAATATTTATCGGTAATAACACACTCTCTACTGAAATAATGGTACGATTCGCGTGGTATTATTGTTCTAAAAGTCCACAGTACATCGGACTAAAATAATAGTAGAAATACTGTAACGGTAGTACAGTTGGCAAAACTG